ACCAACCCCTCCCTGTTACCATGTCAACAGAGATCTCCTCATTTTGAGGCTAATATACCTCCCAAACTCCAATAGGACTACTTTTTTATAACCTTCTGCTCTGATCCTGTCACAAGGGTAAGTTCTATTGAAAATATGCCTTAAATCTCCATGAGTCACTTCTAAACTGTGAGAAGTTGACCAAATTGCCATATTAGCTCAATAAACAAGAAGAAAAATCCCACAAGCTTTTCATGGTAAAATGGATAAAGAGAAAGTTAATACTCTGTACCATCACTTTAACATTTTTCCATTTAAAAAGCATTGGGACAGGGTTATTTACTTGCAGTACCTTTAAATCTCATCATATAATAGTTGTGTCTTAGTAGTGCAATTTGGCACATTACTTTGTGATGAGTTGTTTTGCCTTTACTAGACATAAGGGCTTGGAAGTTATGTGAGAAGTCCTCTTAATTTATGCAGGTCACTGAACAGTCCACTGATCTCGTCATTAAAGAAAAGATAGGATAAGTAGGATATTGGCTCAGTCATGCAGAAGTCTATTCAGAAATACCACGGATCAAAAGCATTGTTCATCTAAAGTATGTGTGTTCATGTTTGGTATCGTAAGTCTCCTGGGTTGAGGTTTACCTTTGGTGTCGACACCCGCGCGTCCAGACTATTGCGCTGAGCTGACAAACAGCTGATCAGCTGTTTGTCGGCTCAGCGCGGCAGCCATGTAAATTTAAATGAAGTGGCGATTATTTAAATCACCGCTTCATTTTACTATGTCGGGTAGCCTAATCTACATGCCTCTGGTGACAGAGGCATGTAGTCTAGACGTAACCTTAGTAGCAGATAGCTGTCCCTGTCTCCACCCCTGCCCTTTTCTGGCCCAATGGAGTTATTGCTGTCTCTGTCCCCATCTATGTCCCCCCTTACTGTCCCCCTGTGGTCATTTTGCATACAACTGCCCCTCCTGCCAGACCGTTCCCTTTCCATTTTATGAGAAACAAACCATTATTCTTGCACAATGAAACACTGATCCTGCTTTAAGATATAAGAGGAAGCTGCATACCAAATTTGGCAGCCCTATCTCTTGCTGTTTATGAGGGGTTCTTGAACAAACAGATCCACAAAGAGATATAGTAAAATTGGCAATCCCTGATTCAAGTAATTACCCAACCTTGACCAGGCTTAGATGGACAAGAGTGCTGATTAATCTTCGGTGTTATAGCTGCAGACAGAGCAATGCTTCTTGTCAGGAAATCATATTGACAGCCAGGAACATGTTATAGTTATTGACTAAAACAAGAAAACATTTATGGCCTTTATTTTCACCATTGCTGCATTAAAAATGTAGTGAACCACCACCCTTAAAAAAATTTTAAAGCAAGAAGTTGAAGTGAAATATGCCTTAATACTTCAGCATTAACTTGCAGAAGACTGCATATTTTTCTTTTGATATACGTAAGAACGGCCATACTGGGTCAGACTGAAGGTCCATCTAACCCAGTATTCTCTCTTCTGACAGTGGCCAATGCCAGGTCCACAAGAGTCAATGAATGGGAGAGAGAATTTTTAAATGACCCAGCCCGTCGCCCATTCTCAGCTTCTGACAAACAGAGGCTTGGGACACCATCCCTGCCCATACTGGCTAATAGCCATTGATAGACTTGTTCTTCATGAATTTATCTAGCTCATTTTTTTAACCCTGTTATATTCTTGGACTTCACAACATCTCTGGCAAAGAGTTCCATAGGCTGACTATGCATTGTGTAAATAAATACTTCCTTTTGTTTGTTTTAAACTTGCTACCTATTCATTTCATTTGGTGACCCCTAATTCTTGTGTTAAGGGAAGGAGTAAATAACTCTTCTTTATTCACTTTCTCCACACCAGTCATGATTTATAGACACCTATCGTATTTCCCCTCGATGCCTCTTTTCTAAGCTGAAAAGTCCCAGTCTTATTTATCTCTCCTCGTACAGCAGCCATTCCATACCCCTATTCATTTTTGTTACCCTTTTCTGAACTTTGTATATAGATATTGTGACAAATCTCCTATTCAAACATGATAGGTCCTGTGCTTTCATACAGATTGCTTGCCTCAGAGACTCACAACAGTCCTCAATTTAGGTACCATACCTAGGGCATCAGCTTGCTGTTTTTGTTAAGCTACTGTCATCACTGGCCAGAGGGAAACCAAATTCTACAGTCTTGGTGGATCTCCCCCCCCCCCCCAAAAAAAGATATAGGGCTGGGTAAACCCCTTTCTTTCCCCAGCTAGTCTTTTCCCCAAGTGGAAATGTAGAAGTGGGTGGTAGGTGGAGCCCAGGCTCACCCTCTACTCCAGATTCCAGCCCAGAACCCTGTAAAAGCAGCTGCCTATAAATGTCTCCAACACCAGCTGTGAGACAGCTATAAAACCCCTGGGCTACTTCCTCATACCTTTCCTAGCATCTTCCTTAGGCTCTTCTTCCTAGTATCCGCTTGTGGTTACTCGTCCTAGATCCGTGGTCATCAACCCATCAATCACGATGGACTGGTCAATCAGGAGGGATCGACCAGTCGAGTGCGAGGTGTTTGGGGCCCCTCCAATTCCCCCCACCCTCAAGAAGCCCCACTACCCTTCCTCCAAAAATGGAGGTAGTGCCGGCTTCCTACAGGGTGAAGGGAAGTCTGGCAGCTGCGCGCCACTTCCTGGGGGTGGGTGGGAGAGGGGAAGGGAGACGTGCACCAGGGCTCCCCTCCTCTGCGGGGGAGGGGGGAGGAGTCCTGGGGGGAAATGCGTGCTGAGGCTTTCCTCCTTTGCAGGGGAGGGGGCAGGAGTCCCAGAAGGAGGCTCTTGCCGGAGCTTCTCTTCTCTGGGGAGGGGGGGGGGAAGGCACGTGCCAAGGATTTCCTGCCCCAGCTAACACCCTGCCCCCTGTTCCCACCGGCACTCTGCTTCCACTGGCACCCTGTCTCCTGCCCCCGCAGACATCCTGTCCCCACCCCAGCACCCTGTCCCTTGCCTCCACTGATACCCTGTCCTCTGCCCCAGGCCCTTTCCCCGGAACCCAGTGGTCCTTTGTCCCTTTCCCCAGCCCCCTGTCCCTTGCCCCAGCACCCATTGGCACCCTACCCAGCACCCTATTCCCTGTCCCAGTACCCCCTGGCACCCTTACCCAATACCATGTCCTCTATTCCCACCAGCACAGTTGGGGCCACATTAGTGAGGCTTTTGGGGGTTTTGGAGGAGTTTTTATTTTGCATCTCACTTGTGTGGCCCCAACTGACTTTTCTGTGGGTCAATGACCCCTGACTTAAAACGGGTTCTCTGCCCTTCTCATAAATAAAGACAATGCAGAAACTTTTTGTGTTTGACATAGTATTTTATTTAAAAATTAAGCCTGGCCAACAAACCTCCAATTGGGGTCAAGCCCCCATCTGTCCACAGCATCATAACATGCCTGCACTCCCCCTTCCCCCAGACCCTCGAGCTGAACCTATCATAAACTGGAACCCCCTGCCCTGAGCCTCTCACATACCCTAACCCAAATTCCTGCACCCTTGTATCCACAAGCATGTAGCTTGCTTAGTCCGCTAACCCTGCATGTGACCCCAACACTGCCCAGCCTGAAGCCTCCTCCCTGACTAGTGTCCCCTTCTCCACCTCCTGCTGCATCCATATTTCCTCCCTGAGCTTGCATCTCTCACCCTTTCCCACACCCAAATCCCTCATTCCCACCCCAGAGCCTACACATCCTATCTCAACCCAGCTAGGGTAAGGCTAGAATGCAGGAGTTTTTCAGGATTCCGGAGCTATCCCAGAAAAACTCTTCTGCATCCAGGGATGCGTTTGTTCTTCTGCTTTTTTTAGTGGAAGGGCAAACGTGCTCTTTCGGTAACCCCTATATTCCTCTTTCCACGAGGAATAAGGGGGCTTCCAAAAGAAGGGTTTTTTCTGACATTTGGTCCAGTCTAGACAGGCCAAATATTGAAAAAACCTCTTCCTACAGAAGAATTGGGAAAAAAGCAGCAGTATAAGGGTTGGGGATAGCAAGTGATGGAGAGGAGGAAAATAGAGAGGAAGGGGCGGAGCGGTAGATCTTGGCTTGTTCTGTCATTTAAAAAGTGATCTTGGATGTTAAAAGGTTGGAGACCACTGTCCTAGATCCTCTGCAGAGTGCCCTCTGTCCTCCCAGCTCTCCATGTGGTAAATAACTGCAGAGAAGCTCTTCGTAATCAGTCTCAACTGGTTCTTTAATTGGCCCCAGATGTTTCAACTAGCCTTGGCTTACTTGACTCTGGAAGCCCTCTTAATTTGCACCAGGTGCTTAATTGCCCTGATAGATTCTGGCACATTCTCTCTGATTCTTGTCACAATATATAGTGGTATTTTCAAAAGTAAAAGCCAGTTGCTCACATTTCCTGGTTCCATATTTGTACTGGGAAACAACTTTAATTACGGGTCAGAATGTTTCTGATGTAGCTCCCCTGTCATAAATGCAGATTAAAAACCAGATTATTGGTTTAAAACAAACACCAAGAAGTATTCCCCCCCCCAAAAAAAAACCCCACAGTTAACCTGTGGAATGCCTTGCCAGAAGGTTTTGTTAAGGTCAACACTACAACAATTTTAAAAAGGACTGGATAAATTAATGGAAGATTGGTCCATTGAAAGTTAATATCCAGAATGGGCTGGGATGGCATCCCTAGCTGCTGTTTAACAGAAGCTGGGAATGGGCAACAGGATGGATCACTCGATGGCCTGTTCTGTTCATTCCCTCTGGAGCACCTGGCTTTGGCCGCTGTTGGAAGACTGGATAGTGGGCTATCTTTGGTTCAGACTCTGTATGGTGGTTCATATGTTCTTATACAGCAAGGAAAAATTTAACCAAGCTTATGTTTATAGTTGGTGCAATGATCCAGTAAGTATCTCAACTTTGTATTGTAGCCAGAACAAAATAAATTAAAAAGAAAATTCTGTGATGGGATGCACATTCAAATTATATTTTCTCTTTGGCTTTAAATAGAATGAATGCCGCATGTTTCGTGTTCAGTTTGGTGGAAATTCAAAAGAGCATGCACTGGAACACTGCTATAATTGTGTGCAGAAACTTGCAGACTACGTAACAGTTCAGACAACAGATGAACAAAGCCGAGAGCTGCATCAAGGTCCTAATCAGCTGGCTAACAGTGAAAGTCAAGTGAAGGACTCTGAACAAAATACATCAGTGCTGCATGGAGTAAGTCGGTAGAGTGTGGAGGGGGAGGGAAACGACAAAAATAATGGTTACCCACTTTAAAGTGCCACATGTAGACTCCTTTAGAGCAGTGTTTTTCAACCTTTTTTCATTCGAGGACCCCTAAAAATTTAAATTGAAGGTGCAAACCACTTCGGAAATCTTAGACAGTCTGTAGATCCCCAGGTGTCCATGGACCACAGGATGAAAGTCACTGTTTAAGGCTCTCAGCTTCAATGTGTAGACTGAAAAGAATAAGCACCGGCTCCTCACTGCGGAGAGCAGGAGCCAGGACACATGGGAAGTTAGCTTTCAAGTAGTTCTGCATACCAACTCCCGCAGAGCCATCTGCTCTCTGCACTGATGCCTCTATATCAGAGGCATAAGTAGGAGGTGAGGGGGAAAAGGTGGAAGCTAGTGCTTGTGGGGAGCCAGCTTAAAAGTCAGAGCCCTGCAAGCACCGGCTGCTGCCTGTCCCTCTGTGTGTAAACGTGTAACTGCTGATTGGGAGCTGCTCAAAGTAAGCCCCTCTTGCCCTCGCCCTAATCCCACCACAAAGCCAGAGCTCCCTCATACATCCCAAAGCTTTCATTCTCAGCCCCACCCCAGAGCCGACACTCTTAGTAGTCAAATTATGTTGGGTCGTAGGCAGCAACAACTTTCTTCCATTGGGTCATGAGAAAAAAAGTGATCTTTATGATAATTGGTTAACTGGTGCCCAGGTGATCCTTATGGTAACTGGTTAACTGGTGCCCAGGAGCAGCCTCCAGGGCAGGCCAGGAGCTGTGAGCCCCACAGAGCTGGCAGTCCTGCGGAACCAGGAGCAGCAGCCCCACAGAGGCGGCAGCCCTGCAGGCTGAGGGCTGTTCCAGCCAGAGTGGAGTGGCCCGGGCCCACAGAATCCTGCTTAGTCACTTCACTGGCTAAACTTAATGTTTAACTGGTTAACTGATTAAACTGGATTTTACATCTCTAGTAAGAACTTGGTGGGGCCTGGGACTGAAGCCAAAGTCTGAGGGTTTCAGCCCTGAATGGCAGGTCTTAGATCAGAGCCATGCAAAATACAGCTAGCCAAGCCACTGGATCCAGCCCGCAGCCCAGTGGGAGCCTCAAGTGGGCTCCCTGCCTGCCCCATCCCTTACACTGCCCAGAGTGTCCAGTTGTGTGGGGCCAATGACCTTCTCTGAATACTGCTATGAGTCAGAAGGAGAAGCTTTATGGGCTGCTCCCCTTCAGAGCTTATGGTGCTCAACGCAGGACATGATCCCCGCAGCCGGCCAGTCTCAGCAGCATGCAGTAGGCACTGTGCCTACCTGGGGGACTTGCTGAGCTGCTGACTAGGAGCTGCCTAGGTAAGCGCCTTCCAACCAGACCTTGAACCTGGGACTCCAACCCCTCCCTCTTCTCAACCTTTTGTCCCCCTTTCTGCATCCCAATCTCCTGCCCCAGGTCACAACTCCTTAGAATCATAGAATCCTAGAGCTAGAAGAGACCTCAGAAGGTCATCAAATCCAAATCCCTGCCCAAAGCAGAACCAACCCCAACTAAACCATCCCAGCCAGGGCTTTGTCAAAGTTGGACTTAAAAACCTCTAGGGATGGAGATTCCACCACCTCCCTAGGGAACCCATCCCAGTGCTTCACCACCTTCCTAGGGAGATAGTTTTTCCTAATATCCAACGTAGACCTACCCTACTGTAACTTAAGACCATTGCTCCTTTTTCTGCCATCTATCACTACTGAGAACAGCTTTTCTCCATCCTCTTTGGAACCTCCCTTCAGGAAGTTGAAGGCTGCTATCAAATCCCCCCCTCACTTTTCTCTTCTGCAGACTAAACAAGCCCAAATCCTTTAACTTCTCCTTGTAGGTCATGTGCTCCAGTCCCCTAATCATTTTGGTTGCTCTCTGCTGGACCCTTTCCAGTACATCCTATAGCGGTGGACCCAGAACTAGACGCAGTACTCCAGGGGTATGTCTACACTACAAAGTTAGTTCGAACTAACGGACTTCTCTTAGAGGAGAATCCATTGATAGAGATTCTCTAAGCTGTAGTCAGAAAGAGAGGAAGGGAGAGGACAAATCATGGGCCAGAGCAGACAAACAACTGCATATAAAGGAATCCAATGCATCAGGGAAGGGCAGACAATAAGTAGTGGCAATTTTTTAAAGTGCTTCTACACAAATACTAGGAGTCTGACTAATAAGATGGGTGAACTAGAGTACCTCGTATTAAAGGAGGAGATTGATATAATAGGCATCACTGAAACCTAGTGGAATGAGGAAAATCTGTGGGACACAATCATACCGGGATATAAAATATATAGAAAGGATAGAGCAGGCCGGGTGGGTGGCGGAGTGGCACTGTATGTGAAAGATAATGTAGAATCAAATTAAATAAAAATATTAAATGAATCAACATATTAAATGAATATTAAATAAATATTAAACAAATATTAAATGAATCCATGAGGAGTAACGGTAGTTCGAACTAGGAAGCCTAGTTCGAACTACCTAGTTCATGCCGCGTGTAGCCGCGCAGCACGGGGTTTGAACGAGCGGGGATTTAAAAATGGCGGCGCCCCGCTTATGCAAATGAAGCCCGGGAAATTCAAATCCCAGGCTTCATTTGCAATTGCGATATGCCTACATTACCCCGCTAGTTCGAACTAGCGGGGTAGTGTAGACATACCCTTAGAGACTTTGCATGGGGGAATGGGGCATGCCCGCTTCCCTGCCTTCAAAGCTGGCGCCTTGTGCTGCAAACCTATGCCAGTCCATGGTCTGCATGCTGACTTCTTTTTGTTTTTTGGTGGAAAGACACTTATTGGAGAAGTGTCGCATCTGCGGGTCCTTCTGTCCCAGAATTATTTTTAAAAGGGAATTCGGCTCTGGACGTTACTGATGGAATCCATGCTAGGTCCACAAGACCAGCAGTCAGACTTGGCACTGAGCACCGGTGTGTCAGTGCACAGCGCCCTTCTGGCATTGACTTCTTGGCAGCGTTCGTCACCACCAGCCATGACGAAGCGCCCAAATGAGTTGGGCAGGGATAAGTCCCTTGGCCCTTGTAAAGACAAGGGGGAAAAAGGTGACCAGTCAGCTGACAGGTCGCAGGAGAAGGCCAGGCAGCTCTGAGCTCCCCCACTTGGTCACTATCCTTGGTGCTAGAGGTCTGTCTCCCCTCCATTTCGGAGTCCTTCCAGGCCAGGATATCTGAACCATGGTGGTACTTCCACCCCCAGCACTATCTGGAACTCAGCATAGAGGGAAGCCGCAGTATGATCCTCGGTCACCAAGCACTTCCAAGTCCTGCTTATCTCAGTCTGAGAGGAGCAGGTCATGAAGCGCCCTGCCCTGCGCCATCTTTTCACCATCCTTCCCTGTCCCTCCTTTAGGGACCCTTCTCACAAGCACCTCCTCACACAGGAGTTAACTCAGTTGCTCCAGATAGGAATGGGAGAGTGCATACCACCTGGTTTAGAAAACAGGGGCTTCTACTCCTGCTATTTCTTGATTTCCAAGGTCAAAGGGGGCCTGTGGCCCATACCTGACTTGCAGTATTTGGTCCATCTCAAGTTCCACATGGTCTCCCTAGCCTCCCTCATCCCCGAGTTGGATCCGAGGATATGCTGCTCTCGACCTCAAGGATGTGTACTTTCACATTGCAATCTTCGAGGGTCACAGATGGCAATGGCACCCAGGGTTTTCATCAAGTGCATGTTAGTGGTAGTACCATACGTGAGGCACCAGGGTATGCAGGTATACCCTTACCTGGACAACTGGCTCATCAAGGGTTCCTCGAGGATCAAGGCCCAGTGCAATGTGGATCTCCTTCTGGACATGTGCCACTGCCTTGGCCTCCTAATAGATTAAAAAAGTCTTAGTGCTGACTCAAAGTATAGAGTTCATTGGTGCTATCTTGGACTCCACTCAGGCCAGGGCATTGTTTTCTCAAGAAAGGTTTGAAGCGACCCTCCTGCATCAACTTGCTCACACGCCCACAACCAGGGTGAGGGTATGTCTGCAGATTCTGAGGCACATGGCAGCCTGCATATGTCATACCCCTGGCCAGGCTCAGGATGAGACCCCTCCAGCTGTGACTAGTGTCTGTATATGCTCCAGCCAGACATTCACTGGAAAGGGTGGTGACAGTTCTGAATCACATCTTGCAGACTCTAGAGTGGTGGACCATGAAAGAACGTGTCATGTCCAGGATTCCCTTCCACCAGCAACTGCACTTGAAGAAGCAAATTCCTGATGCTTCCAATCATGAAGTGGGGCTCACAAGGGTACCCTTTGGACCGAAGGACAGTGGTCCATAGAAGAGGCAATGCTTCACATAAACAACAGGGAGCTCAGGGCGATCAGAAATTGTGCGTGGTATTTCTTCCTCACTTCTCAGGCAGGTGGTACATGTCCTCATTGACAATATGGCCACCATATACTATATCAACAGGCCTTGCCTGATCCTCAGAGCTCAGCAAGGAAGCAATGTGCCTCTCGGAATTCTTTGCTCCCCATAGTGCAGTGTTGGAGGCAGATTGCCTTCCTGGAATGTGGTACACAGTTGTGCACTGTCTCAGCAGAAAATTCCCCTCTCGCCATAAGCGGGCTCTTCACCCCAAGGTGGTTACCTCTCTCTTCTGTGAGTGGGGCTCTCCCCAGTGGACCTCTTCGTGACAAAAGAGAATGCAAGATGCAGCAGATTTTGCTCCCAGTTTGGTCTCAGGTGGAGTTCCCTTCCAGATGCCTTCCTGTTTCAGTGGTCAGAGGGCCTCCTCTACACCGTACCTCCATCTCCCCTCGTTGGCAGAGTCTTGCAAAAAATCAGGAGGTTCGGGTGATGTTCAGAGAGTCCTCCTCAAGAGTAGGAAGCCCTCGATACATTCTGCTTACATAGCGAAGTGGACATGTTTCTCAGCATGGGCACAGCAGTGGCATGCTGTCCCATCTGAATCTTCTCTTCAGGAGATTCTTAACTACCTGCTCCACTTGAAGCAGCA